ATATGATTGTTTTTCTTTTTGAAACTGTTACTAATTGTTGATTTGAAATATGATGGTAATGGAGACCAAGCAGGATTAACTCAAATTGTGCACCTTTTGAAATGATAGTTAGTCCCCTGATTGTGAGTGGTATTTGCAAAGGGGTGTTTTGTGAACATGCTTATATTATGATTGTGTCAGTAAGTTGTCTTGTTTTGGGAACTCTGAATTATGTTATGTGATGGGTTTTTAATGACTGAAGGTGGATCTCTTGTTGAAATGTAGTGCTTTGTGGATGAAAGTGTGTTTTCATGATGACTGGTGCTTAATTGAAAGTGGTTTGCAGTTCTGTGTTTTTACATAGAGGTTTCATGTTGTTTCATGCTTGAAGTTCTTGTGCTTAATCGAAAGTGGATTGCAGTTCTGGTGCTTAATTGAAAGTGGATCTTTTGGGTTGCAGTTCTGGTGCTTAATTGAAAGTGGGTCTCTTGTTTTATGTTTGCAATTGAAGTTCTGTATGTACATTGAGTTTCATGCTTGAACTTTGTGTTCTAATTTATGTAATTCAGGTTCATAATGACTGTTTAAACAATTGAGGTTTTGTGTTCTATTTTAGTAGACATGAATGAAATTGAAGTTATTTGTTGTGTTTTGTTTCATGCCAAATTGAGTCAGAATGTGTTTCATGGCAGATTAACAACAAAGTGGTCCGATTTTCAATGAGATTAGCAACAATACATCATAACAACAATAGATAAGGTCCCCATTTGGATACTTGGATACATATTATGCTTGTTTCATGATAAACATCCACACCATTGAGATTATAAGTAAAAACAATAAAATTCTATTCTTCTTCTTCAGTTGTGCATTTTCTTCTTCCTGTTTCTTCATCTTTTTCAAGTACATCTCCTTCTCTTGAAGTTCAGTTGCAGATTCGACATTTTGGCGATTTGTTTCAGCTTTTAACCGGTTTATTTTACGCAACAAACCAGGGATTATTTTTTTTGCCCTTGCACACATCGGAGGGTCAAACTAATTCCAAAAGGTACAACCATTTTGGCCACAATCCATGTACCTCCTTCCTAGGTTGGCAGGGGTCCATGCGGTTTGTAGACGAGCAACCTTACCGCAAAAACAAAGAACACCGGCTTCTCTTCTTGAAGAACTTGAAACACTCATTTTTTCCTATGTTTCTATTGATTTGAGTTGCAAATCTGATGAAGAGAATGAGGGATTTATGTTGTTCTGTGGCTTGTCATTTCTGGTGCAATTTCCCGCCATTTTCAGATGTCATTCTCCCTCCATTTTTTGTTGTTAACATTTTCGTGCAGTCTGTTAGTTTTGGGACTAAGTTTGGAACGAAAACAAGTTAAGGACTAAAAATGAGCATCTTGCGACTATTTTTGGAACCGCCCTAATCTAACGGGACAAAATTTGCAATTTTCTCTATTATGGTAAGAGGAGACAATATAAGGTCCGCCTCATCTAACGAGAGCTTATTATGCATTCCATCGTCATCATCATCACCAAGAAAACAGTCATAGTAGTCAACGCCATCGGGAAGCCCACTTGGCCAAGTGTTAGTGGACTGGACTTCATTGTCAAGGTCGGAAATTTCACCCGACGAGTCCAAGTCCTTCGGTTTCTGCCATTAGTTCAATTTCTATTAGATTGAGTTTGATGTGGAGGCGATTGCTGGTGTCGTTCAGGCGGGGACTGTGAGGAGTTGGTCAACCCCTCGACCTTGTCCCCAGTTGATCCAGAAGTAGACCCAGACTTCCTCTTTAGAGGAGCTTTCCTCGAAGGAATGTTGAAGCTGGGAGCCTCTGCAAGAAGATAACAAAAAGGTTAAAATCGACATCAACAAGATTTACTTAAATGAAAACAAAAGAACGCGTGAACACTCGAACAAACTGATCGAGGATTATCTGGATCATTCTCAATCCGAATAAGATCGAGGATCTTTTCAGTAGGCGGAGGACAGGTTTTGTGAGTGAGAAGGCCGCAATGATGGAGAAGATTCTCATCCTTGAGGAGTTTTTCTGACTTCACGGGCTTGGAATTCTAAGTGTAAACCTGTTGGTCGAAGAGAGGGTTTGGAGGAGGCACGGAAACCTCTTGGGGAAGTTCCTTGATCCAAGGAAGAGGAGCCCAAGGGAAAGGAACGTCGGGCTCGCCGAAAATGAATCTGTCGATCCACTTCGGGATGTTGGTAGGGATGTCACTGATGAAGTGGGCGTCGTACCGACTTTTCAAGTAAAGGCCTCGGGTCTGCTTGGAAGGAGCATCGAAGTGATGGAAGAGGCTAGGTCGAATCGACCTAGATGAATATGGCAGAGGATGACGAAGGTGGTCATGAAGCGGATGACATTAGGGGGAAGTTGGTGTAAGGGAAGCCCGAACCACTCACATATTCGAAGTAGCTTAGGGTTCAAAGGGAAGCAGAGTCCATGTTTGAACTGGATCTCAAAGAAAGTGTAGCAGTTTTCGGGGGAATGATCGTATTTGTCAGAGGGCGAAGGGCTACAGAACACCCAACCATTAGGTCGGCCGATCTTTTCGGGTTTGTACCAATTGACGGAGAGAGAAGTAGAAGAGGGAATCCTCGTGGAGGCTTGGGAAGGGTTTTTGGTCGAAGGTTTTTTGGGAGGAGACCTAGAAGCACCAGGTTGGGGAGGAGAGGAAGGATTGGTCGAAAAATTGGGAGGAACAGCTTGAGAAGAAGAGGGATTTACGGTAGCAGGAGAGGGATTGGTAAATTCAAAAAGAGAGGGGGACAACATCAAGCTCGTCCTCGTCCTCCGGCTCATCCATTGAGCCAAAGGCGGGTCGACGACGGCAAAGGGGAATATTGTCCATACTATCTCCGGAGTTAGGAGAAGAAACACGAGCAATAAAGATGATAGTAGGAACGGTCTCGCCGGGACGAAGAATGGAGATAGGAACAATGTTAGGAGCGAAAGGGACTTCTTAAATCGAATCAGAGGAGGTGGTCGAAGTAGCAGAATCTGAAAAAACAAAACAAAAGCGAGAGACTTTCAGAAATCAGGGTTCTAAGAGGAGGCAATTTTGAAGAAATCGAGGAAGAAGAACGGGAGTTTCAGAAGATTTTGAAGAGGGGAACAAAATTCACAAAGATTAACACGCAAAGACAGATACCCAACACACAAAATTCAGAATACCCAGTCAGCGAATTCAAAATACCCAATTCGAAAAATTAAAAAATGCACGAATCCAAGGCACAAGAAACATAAATTCAAGCAAAGAACAACTTACTCATAGTTGCAGATGAAGGGATTGAGAGAGCCTGTGGATAGCAAGGGGAATCACCACGAGGAAAAAGCTAGGGTTTGCAGAGAAATTTTTGAATGCAAGAGAGTTTGGGAGTGCAAAAGTAGAAAAAGTCCGAAAATTTACTAAATGTTGGTTTTATATGGAGACTCAACAAGACGTGGAAGAGGGAGCGCCGTTAGATGGAGGATAAAATCGAACGGTTAGAGGAATTAAAGGGTGCGGGATTCAAGAAAGTACGAGACACGAGGAGGCGTAATCATTAAAGTACCTGACAAATGCGGCAGAAGTGACGCGTGGCAGAAAAGCAGGCGCGACAGAAAGGACGTGTGACAGACGACTTTATTTCTGGAAATTAAAGAAGAATTAATTGAAAAAGTGAGCGGGAAACTCATCGGATGGTCGATATCGAATGAAATACAACCCAGGAGAACAACGTGCACAAATTCACTCTTAGATCGAGTCATTCAGACTCGACCAGAGTGGGGGGGACTAGATGTTATAAGATATTATACCCACAAGGCTAAATCGGTCTGCTGAACCGGTCGAAGAGGCTATACCGTGAGAAAACCGAGCCGAGTGGCGAGAAAATCGATCAGTCAACCAGTCGACCAGTCAACCAGTCGACCAATCCATCATTCGACCAGGTAAACGATCGAGCAGTTTAGTCCACCTCAACAGGTCGACCACTTCGCGGACTTAACACTTTATGGATCGGCCTAGTCACATGCGCGTGTAAGAGCCTCTAACGGAATTTCAAAAGAATATTCACTCTATGTGCAGAAGGACACGTATCGAGAACACATTGGTTGATAGCGACAACCACCTCTGACAACTCCCAACGTCCCACGCCACCTCTGACATGCGCGCGGTATTTCAGAGTACGGACGGGCAGCTTAGGCAGCCAACTCACCAAATCCGGGCAGCTCTAGGCCAGGTATATCACTCTTATACAAAGGGGGTGAGCCTTTCTTCCTTAACAAGATTTTTCCATTACTCTCTTCAGTATACTCATACACATACTGACTTAAGCATCGAAGGCTCTTCACCGTACACAACCCCCGGTGTGAGAGTTATTTGCAGGTTTCGGCGTTCTACCGGCGAGGATAAAAATTAATCTACCCCAAACCGGGCCAAGACGCTCACACTTGCATTAGAGTTCTCAATCAAGCCTACTATATCAAGTGGAGAAATTTTTCGAGTACAGTATGAATCGAATATCACAACAGAGTCATGCATAACATATAAAGACTTTGCAATTAAGCTTTTGATTTGCTGACAGCAAGTTGGTTTCAAAATTTGGGAATTCCAATTCATCATCCACGGAAACGGACACAATACAAAGCGTGCAAACACAACATAATGGACTAGGAAATTCTAAAAATGAACCAAATAAACACATAAAAA